AGAGAGAGAGAGAGAGAGAGAGAGAGAGAGATATGAAAGGCCAAAAAAATTACAGTCCATGTGTAAGAAGAAACAAAAGAATCTGGAAAATGTATTGACACATTGTCGTGAGACGAGAGCGAAATCCGAGAAAGGGAAAACAGTCTCGACGTCGCATTTCTCAAACGATTTTCAAATACAGAAACTCCTAGATCTCACCAGATTGCGGGGTCTGTCACAATGTGTTCAAACATTCAAGTAAAGAGACGCGTAGTCGGAGAACTGATAACGCACGCATCGTTCTGAGCAATATACACTGAATATTGGCCTGAGCAAATGCTAGTATCATTGCTTGGGCTACACGTCATTTTTTCGTTGATCATTCCTGCTTTTAGCGGAGTTACAAATCAAGATAGGCTACAATCTCAGAATCATTTGAAAGCTGGTGTATTTGTACTGCTCTCTATGATAATTATTGTGCAGATGTGGATATTTTAAAACTTTTTTTTCTTTCATTGTTCAATATTTTGCTACTTGGACATACAATTTGTGAAAACAGCTCATCTCCCCTTTTAAAGACAACATTTTTATTTCAAATAGTTTAAAATTCTGACTAAGATAATTATTTCCAGTACTATTGACCCTTTCAAAGAAATTCTTTATGTATCGATACTTTGGCCTTCATAAACCCCCGAATCCGTTACTTTTTTTTTCATTTCATCTGATACGTTGAGAACACAATTCTTCGAACAATAATCTCCTCTTTCCAATTGGTAAACAAAATGCTACAGATTGGAAACAGATTCCTGCCGTCTGTCCCGTCCTAATCGTGTCTCCGAACAGATGATCTCTGTGGCCCTTCCCACGGATCTGTCTCCTCAGGAAACACCAGAGACTTGTAGAGCACCACGCTGTACCATTTAAGAGGGCCAAGGCATAAAACATGCCACAGGGCTGAGCCTGAATTCCCCTTTGTTTTTAACTCAGTCGTTGCCTTTTTTTTTCTTTTTCTGACCAGCTCTAAATAGCATAAATAGTGCATTCTAATAATACTAAACTCTTCGTAGCGAAAGCGTTAAACGCGAGGTGAATGTTAGGTAATAAAAACGTTTATTTTGTACATCATTGTAACAAAATGTATCAAATAATAAATAGAACAGAAATCGTGAGCAAAGTGAATAGCAATTCTATTTATCTCACACTTTCTTTAAATGTCATTGAAGCAGTTCTGAGAGAGGAATCAGTTGTGTGAAATAACCCCATTTATTTCCTGCTGCCTGCCAAGTGCCCTGGCGGCCGACTTCCGCTCGTGTTAGATAGAACGACTGCTACTGCACATTTCTCTCTCCCCTCCGACCTCGCAACCTTCTCGTCTCATTGGCTACCTAGGACAAACACATATTATGGCACCAGTCTGAAACAAAAATGTATTGACCAGCCATACACGGGCACCCCGCCCTGCCGCAGGTATCACGATCATGTTAATTAGCCCAAGATCGATTAGTTGAGATTGATATCTGTCTGCTCTAATGTTCTTTTGTTGTTTCGACGCTTTCTTGTCCGAGAGGAAACTGGTCTGAAGGTTACTGGAAAAGCCACTTCGTTTTACATTCTCCTGCAGCGTGTTGGCTCGATTTCCTCTCCGTGATTTTTCACGATTGAAAGATGAGGTAGACAGGGGTAAAGGATTTGCAAATGACCCTTAAATGTGCGCAGTAACTTCGAAAGAAAACCTAACACTTGTAGTCTAAATCACTGTGGAAGCCTAGAGAAATTATGTACAAGAGAGGAGCACTTAGAGCGGAGTCTGTTAAGGGAATCCATAAATTGTACGCTGGGCTAGTTTATAGAAGTTAAGGCAATCCTCCCTCTTGGCATTAGAAAGGCATTAGAGACTTTTTCCTACTTTCTTTTTTTAGAGCGACATTGTGCCTTGTTGTGTAATTCTGTTTCTCCTTAATTCCGTTTATAAAGGTCATTCCGAATTAGTCCTCTGATCACAAACAGTACAGATAAAATGAATATTTAAACCAAAACAAAACACAGTTGAACATGGTGTGGAAGTACTGGGTTCAAGTTTCTTAAATTCGAAATTATTCTGAATTTAAATGACTTCGAGTTTAAAAAAAATGTTTTTTATATATACCCTTTGTCTTGTCCGTCACCTGAAAAAACAAACTTAGACACATATTACGTCGTGTTTTCCGAATTTTCTCTCTGAAAGAGAGGATTGTTTCGATTATGGTTTTTCTCGAAAGCGTTGACCAACGAACGGACGTTTGAGGTTCAAATCCAAATGAGTGCCAACTTAGCGAGAATCAATAATTTAATCATAGAAACATTCTATTTTAACTTAAATTAGCTGTTAACATGTTATGCATCAAATTTTAACATCACCCCCCCCCCCCACTACTCCTCATCCTCACCTCGAGAAGAGATCGAAATCCGAAATTACCTCGCCATAGCCCGGGATTCTGCTTTGGACTTGAGTAATTAATTATCAGCTAAGAAAGGACGACAGCGCGCGCCGCCTAACCCCCTCGAGTCTGGGGTCGCGCGACAGCTTATGCAAATGATTAACCCTGTTAACCTGAGCCTGGAGCGCCGCCCTTCTCAGAGGTGGATTTTACGAGCCTTCGCGGAACACGGTCGGCGTAACTGGATAGGCTCCAATAAAAGAGCAGATAGAAACTTCAGACGGATGGAGGAAGATAAATGCCTCAACGGGCCCTACCGAGTGTTACGCACTCGCTTCATAATGTCGACAGTCTCTAAATGAGTTTTAGTTTTACGTCATTTTCAGCATGGTTTTAAAAAAAGGGGTTTGTATTTCGGACGGGAGTTCTCGAAACAAAAAGTTGAGGTAAACATAGTTCTCGCTATTTCTTCTTCACCGTTGTTGCTGTTATTGAGTTGTCGTGTACGGTGACTCAGCCCGATAAAGGCGGCATTTCTCTTTCTCATTGCCAAAATGAAGCGGATGTGAAATGCACCATTTAAGAAACTTTCTACGCAGGAAACTTCCCTCAAACGTAAATAGTAATGTAAGCGTGATTTATGGGATTCCCCCTTCTCGTCACCTCCCCAAACAAACGAACAAACAAATAAACAAACAAAAATAAAATAAAAAATAAAACAACAACTCAAGAACAACAACAACAACAAAGAGCCAATTAAAGGTTAAAGGAAAATTAGCTTTCTTTACTCAACCCTTTTTCTGAATTCATATTGTCCAGGTAGGGTTGGATTCTAAAAAAAGATCTTTGGCTCTCTTTGTACGACTCGCTTAGAGATTATTAAGATTTTGTACCCGTATCGTATAGTGAGGGTTTAACTCAAGGAAATCAAGAAACACACACACACACACACACACACACACACACACACACACACACACACACACACACACACACACACACACACACACATACACATACTCTCTCTCTCTCTCTCTCTCTCTCTCTCTCTCTCTCTCTCTCTCTCTCTTTCACTCTCACTGTCTCCGGCATGCACATGCGCGCCCGTGCAAATACACATTCATACTCACATAAACGAATACACAACAAAAACACTGCTGCAGCCTTAAAATTACGGTACATTATTTACCCTTTAGATAACGAGACAAGTAACAGTTCCACATCTTTGAGCTGAGCAATACATGCATTTTGTATTTAACTCCAATTAATAGTAACGTATTTCCAAAATTTCTTGTGCTTGTTTTATCTGTCCGTTTTTAGATTTCTTCATAAAAAATGGAAAATATAATAATATCTCATTTCAATTCTGAAAATCTAAAGCGTCAGTAAAAAAACAAAAACAAAACAAGAACAAAAATAAACAATACGGAGGAAAAGAAGGTATTTATTTCACGGTTGTCGAAAACAATTGTATCGTGTTTCTCTTTTTGGTATAGCAAACTACACAAGATTAAAGCTAACTTTTAAGCTGAAAAAGCCCAAACTTTGAGTCGACATTGTCTTGATTCTGATCCTGTCCTTCCGAGTCTGTGTGCGAAGATAGGAATCAGTGAACGGCGAGGATGCAACGTCGTGTGTTGAGCTGACTGGTCTATGCAATACTGTGCATGTTGCCGTGTGCAGTTGAATGGCCTGATTAAAAGTACCGAAAAAAAGGGGCGCCAGGCTCGTCAGTCAGTTGTTGATATGAAGTGGTGGGGTTTTAAAGAAGAAAATTGATGGAAAGGAAAACGCCCCCCCCCCCCAACAAATTAAATGGAAATAATACGTTGAAACAAAATTAAATATAGATAGACTGGACAGACGGCTGGACGGCTTGACGATTGTCTTTAAAGATGGAGTTCGTAGTGATGGTGATGGTGGTGATGATGATGATGATCATCATCATCATGATGCTAATGATGATGATGATGATGATGATAGTGACGATGATGATGATGATAGTGACGATGATGATGATGATGAAGACGAAAATGATGCGTGATGATGAGGATTGATGTTACGTTTTTCACTTCAACTATTTCTACCTCTTTGTATTACATCCTTTACATTGTTCTTTATTTAATTGTTATTTTCATTATTTTTTCTCCCCCCCCCCACCCCGAACAGCTGCCAAGCGAGCCCGCAAAGACACAGACAGTGAGGATCGGCTCAGCTCCAGCCCCGCCTCCCTCACCGCTCGGGACACGCCCAACTCAACGGGAAGCCAAGACTCGCCCCGCCCCTGCAGCACACCCACAACTCACGGACCCAACTGTTCCTCTCCAATTCACGCCAGGGGTCACGACAGCTCCCCTACCCTCCGCTCCCCTCCCCTGACCCCAGGTTCGGCCCCTGTCCCCATTGTCCCTACCACAAGCTACGTGGCCACCCCCGGTGTCCCCACAGCGCCACCACCAGTGTCAGGGCTCATGACAAAAAACGACGCGTTGACGCAACAGCAGCACGCTATGGCATCTCTAGAAGAAACCATGATGGCTGCCGCGACGGCTGGCGGCATGGGGCGGCGATCTCCACTGGACATGCTTTGCCGCGTGTTCCCTC